TCAGAAACAGAATTTGCAGAGATGTAAATTCACATCAGCAGCAACCAGGAACAGAATTTGGAATCACGGAAATTCACATCAACAATTGTGAATGAGTTATCTTGGGCTACTTACCTGCCACCTTTTTCATATGAACTACATTTGTTAAACCAAACAAGTGAGGTCAGTAAATCTAGTCAATAGGAAAGAAGCCCATTGCATCCCAAGATTAATACCTTGTTTAATTCACAGACACTAATCAGCCATTTAAAGCATTTTAAAAACCAAGTTTGATCACATTAGGATTTGTGTTTATAATCAGTACAGAATCATAAAAAGTTTTTAAAAATTTAAAGAAGTAAAATCTTCTCCCCCTACCTCCTCTAAAAGAATTTATAGAAGAGTCAACAGTTTGAGTAGGTTTGATGTATATCCTACCCAGATCTTTTTTCTGTGTATCTGTATAGACTTTTATTTATAGACACACATATTTTGTTTTGTCTTGAGATAACTGAATAGTATTGTTCATTGTATGTATTGTTCTGTCACTTGTTTCTACCTCTACCCCAGTCCATAACTTCACTGTGCCATGAAGATTTTATTTACCATTTCCAATTATATGGAGCATAGTCAAATAATTAGGAAGAAAGCCTTCAAAGCCTCTCTGAGCTGCCAATATAAATGTCAGCTTTAGCACTCAAACTCATCTAGAGGAAAGCACTTTAGTATTTATTTACTCATGTTCGATACAGTTCTAATAAGTTTTATATGGTTTCCTGGCCTGTAACAAATTATGTTACATATAAGGAAGAAGGCAGGCATGTACTAAGATAAAACAGCTTACAAAATTATTATTGTTTTGTTTGGTTTTTTTTTGAGTTGGAGTCTCACTCTGTCGCCCAGACTGGAGTGCAGTGGCTGCTCCCGGCCACCGCAGCCTCGACCTGCTGGGCTCCAGCGATCCTTCCGCCTCAGCCTTCCAAGTAGCTGGAACTACAGGCATGCGCTACCACGCCCAGCTAATTTTTAATTCATTGTAGAGATGAGGTCTCGCCAAGTTGCCCAGGCGGGTCTCGAACCCACGGGCTCAGGCAATCCACTCACCTCAGCCTCCCAAAGCGCGGGATTACAGGCTGAGCCACTGAGCCCGACTAGTATTTACCGTTAGGGACAAAGAGTCATCACTAGTTTGTACCATAGGGACACATGTCATCAGTCATTAATCCTTTTCCTTATTAACCTCAGTTTGTGGTTATTTCCTCTGGATTTCATGTTTAATTACTGACTTTCTGATGTTAAGACTTTGTTTCTGTTTATAATTGTATCTACAATTTTTGGTTGTGATCTGGTTAAGGACTATAAAGTACTTATTTTTTAGGCTTTGAATGCACACATGAATGAGAAGCAAGTAACTGGCCTTATTTGGTTCACAACTGTGGACATTTGGAGCATTTCCCTATTTTTTTCCCTGACATACTTATTCAGATGTGTGGTCTGTGAGTAGTACCTTCAGATAGAGGCTATTAAAAAGGCACAAATCTTTATTTATCAAGCAGCTGTTGTCGAGCAGTTAGAGCAAGCTTAATAAAGAAAAGCTTATGGAGAGAATATCTTAAGACTTTGCCTTTCACACATGAGAGGAAACTGTGTGGTAACAGGATGAAGCTAATTTAGGCCCTCTTTTAAATGCCCTGAGAAAAATTACTGCCTTTGTTAGCCAAGAAGTAAAGCAGTAAGGCATTTACACAGAGTAATTTGTATTTTAGCTAGTTATTGATAAATAATTAGAAAGTAGCATTATTAAATCATTATTAATTTGCTGTCAACTTTTTAAAATATGTGATTTCCCAAACACCATATGTGGAAACATGGATGCCTATTGTGTGTAGACCAGAGGTAATATGATTACTTCCAGACATATTTGAATTTTCAGCAGATGTGGTTGTACTACTATCTTCTTTCTCTGCATAAATGTGGGTTCTCGTTTTTCAAAGTTTCTTGTAAAGTTTGTCTTTTTAAAACTACATTTCATTTATAAGAAAAATGTTGTTGTTTTTTTTAAATTTACTTATTTATTTTGAGTTGGAGTCTCACTCTTGTTGCCCAGGCTGAAGTGCAGTGACACACTCACGACTACCGCAGCCTCTACCTGCTGGACTTATGTGGTCCTTCCGCCTCAACCTTCTAAGTAGCTGGAAGTAGAGGCATGCATGCGCCCCCACACCCGACTAATTTTTTGGTTTATTGTAGAGACAAGGTCTTGCCAAGTTGCCCAGGCTGGTCTGGAACCTGTGGGATCAGGCAGTCTTCTTGCTTGTGTCTCCCAAAGTGCTGAGATTACAGGCATGAGCCACTATGCCCAGCTCTTAAAAAAAATTTTTTGTTTATCACTTTTAGTATTAACTTTTATTGTCTGTCCCCTTCTGGGCAGGGTCTCTGATGTGTTTCTCTGTCTCATAACTTTGGAACTGTGATTATATTCTTTCTCACAACGAAAGCAAAATGTTTTCTAAAAAATCTATGTTTGAATGTTAAGTATCCAGCATATGCTTGTGCTTTGAGGGTTGCACAGTATGTTGGTTTATGATTATGGATGTTTGTTTTTAACAGAGTTTAAATTCTGCCTACTTTATACTACATTACTTAATAGTTCAAAAAATCAGTGTGGGCTTCCAGTTTTTTTTTTGTTGTTTGTTTTTGAGTTGGAGTCTCGCTCTGTCGCCTGGACTGGAGTGCAGTGGCTGCTCCCGGCCACTGCAGCCTCGACCTGCTGGGCTCCGGCGATCCTTCCGCCTCAGCCTTCCAAGTAGCCGAAATTACAGGCGTGCACTACCACGCCCGGCTAATTTTTTGATTTATTGTAGAGATGAGGTCTCGCCTACCCAGGCGGGTCTCAAACCCGTGGGCTCAGGCAATCCACTCACCTCAGCCTCCCAAAGGCATGGGATTAAAGGTTGAGCCACCGAACCTGGCTCAGTTGTTTTTTTAAAAGAGAGGAATTTTAAAAAACTTATTTAATTTATTGAATTTTTTTGTTTTTGAGTCAGAGTCTCATTGACTGGGTGACAGTCACCCAGGCTGGAGGGTGGTGGTGTGATCACGGCTCACCACAGCCTTTACCTCTTGGGCTCAGGTGATCCTTCTGCCTCAGGTGATCCTTCTGCCTCAGCCTCTCAAGTATCTGGGACTACAGGTGTGCACCACCATACTCGACTAATTTAAAACTTTTTTTTTTTGTAAAGACAAGGTCTTACTATTTTGATTAGGTTGATCTTGAACTCCTGGGCTCAGGTAATCTTCCTGCCTTGGCCTCTCAAATTCCTGGGACATTACATGTGTGAGCCACCATGCTCTACTGAGAGAGGGATTTTGGTGGTTTGAACATGAGAAAAATTCTCTGCATTTTAGAAATAATAGTAAAATTAGGGACTTTATTTAAAAATACCATTTCAGCTGGGCACAGTGGCTCAAGCCTGTAATCCTAGCACTTTGGGAGGTGGAGGCGAGAGGATTGCCTGAGCCCACGGGTTCAAGACCAGCCTGGGCAACTTAGTGAGACCTCATCTCTACAATTAAAAAAAAAATTAGCCAGGCATATGGTGTGCTCCTGTGGTTCCAGCTACTTGGAAGACTGAGGCAGAAGGATCATCTGAGCCCAGCAGGTTGAGTCTGTGGTCACCATTAGTATGCCCTGCACTACAGCTTGGGTGACAGACTGAGTCGCCGACTCAAAAAAACAAACAAAAAATAAAATGTCAGTGTTTGAGGGTGCAAAGTGAAAATAAAGGCAAAAACTTCTAAATTTTCTCCATTTTTCTGAGGTGTTCTCCGTGATTCTTACAAAGTAATAAGCAATGTTGTTTTTTTAAACTTCCTTGGCATTGTTTGAGTGTTTAAACTTTGTCACTCTGGACAACAGGACCATATACTTAGCATGAGGTTTGGAATTTAGTAGTTACTCAATAAGGTTTTTTTCTTTTTGGAATGAGCATTCAAGTGATCTGTAACAAACCATTTTCTAGTAAATGAAATGCCTAGTTTTGAGCATCTCTTCTGATTAATTGATATAAATTCTGCCAGTGTCTTGTTAAGTATATGTGAAGGAAAGATGGAGCAGAGGTGCTCGTGTGCATGTGTGTTTCTGTCTGGCCGAAGACAACATGTCTTTTTGTGTTGATTTTTTTTATAGATTGGCATAGGAAGTATAAAAATATAACTAGTATAAACCCAAGACACATGATACACAGTTAAGCCAATTTGGATTATTGAATGGATACTGCTATCTTGTAACCATGGTGTTCAGATGTTTCTCATAAATGACTTCATAAACAGCTGACCAAAGGATTTCTGGAAGCTGAAAAGTAGTTAAATTATTGATCTGCTGCAGCTCTGGACACTGATGTAGGACTCTGGCTTCTGGGCCAGGCAAGGTAGCGGGATCTGTAATCCCAGCATTTTGGGAGGCCAAAGCAGGAGCATTACTTGAGGCCGAGAGTTTGAGACCAGCCTGGGCAACATAGTGAGACACTACCTCTATTAAGAAAAAAAAAAAAGAAGAAAAGAAAGAAAAAAGAGAAGACTATGGCTTCTTAAGACTGGTTAAGTATGAAATTTACCATTAATTTTGCAAAATAAAATAAAAAAGTCTGCCCAGTTTAACTAAAAACTTGGTTTTGCTTCTCTGAACTGTAGCATTTTTCTGAAACTTGAGAAAAAACATTTGCCTAGCACAGCTGTTAACCTCCTACAACTGAAATGCTTTCCAATCTCTTTAAAATAAGACCTTCTGAAGCAGAATGTAGATCACATGTATCATCCAGACCAAAAAAGTTTGCTTGGACTACTTCTATCATTTGCCCTGGGTCCGGAATCTTCACATTCCAGGCCGAGCTCCAGCTGTTCCGATTTAGTTACCGGGTTGGGATTGGTTGCGCCGCCTACTCTTTTCTCCACCCCTTAACTTTCACTGGAAGAAAGCTCTAGACCGGAGATTAAATGTAAGTGCTATCACCAGGCTTTCTGAGTGCAGCTGGCACCATGGGTGTGCTCCAGAGCAACTTCTGTTTGCTCTGAGCCCCCTGCCCTGCCTCCCCTTTCACCATGTTTCCTCTGGCAAGATTTTAAGTACAGCAACTCAAGAAGATTTCTCCTCCTAAACTATATTAATCTGAAGTGTATTGCCTCTTGATTGCTGGAAAAGAATCTTAAATTCATTTCAAAAGAAACTTACAAACAAACTTATTCAAAGTGATGAAAGGAGCATTGAGATTGATTAGCACTAATTTTTCGCTGTGCCATAGTGTACAGTGTCTTTCAGAGGAAACTATAACAGACCTGGTGAGTGTGCCATGCCAGTGGGGAGAATTGAATGTCCCTCATCTCCCTCTTTTCCTAGGGACAGTAGTCATGAGTGCCGAGTGTGCGGGGTCACAGAAGTGGGTCTTTCCGCATATGCAAAGCACATTTCTGGCCAGTTGCACAAAGATAACGTTGATGCCCAGGAAAGAGAAGATGATGGAAAGGGAGAGGAAGAGGAAGAAGATTATTTTGACAAGGAACTCGTTCAGTTAATAAAACAAAGGAAAGAACAAAGTCGGTAAGTAAGGATTTTGATTTTTTAAAAAGCTTATCTGTAATAGAACAGAGTATATATTTTTCATTTTTGTACTTTTCAGCCTATAGCATTTAAAGTTACCTTAGTTATAAAGTTTAGTTTGAGGTTGTTGTCTTATGAATAAAAGGGCAATGGAATGCTTAAACTACTGTACTATCAGCTTAAAGAACAAAAAACTCAGTTTTATCCCTACACATGCTAGCTATAACTACATATCTGAAAATTTTACCATGTTGGCAACTATATTTAGAACTGTTTTTATTAGTATCCATGTATCCAATTATTAGATACCAATAAGTTATTTTTATTTGGTGTTCAAATTTTCTAGTGGAAAAGTGTTAGTTTCATAAGTTATATAGTATCTCTTATTGCCAAAATAACATCCCTTAAGAATAGTTTTTTGCCTGGTGTTAATTAACATGATGCATCTGCCAAATGTGACTTATCTCTTTGTCTTTGAATCCCCAGTGACTACCAAAGTACTTGGTTCACTCTATGAATATTTATTAAATATAAATTTTTATTTTAAATTTGATAGTGTCAGGTTTATTCAAACAATATACGTTTTTTTAGCTTGCACTGTATAATTTCATGCCTACATTTATCCATTGAGATATTAAACATTTATGTTTTCACCTTACTGATATGTGGTTTAAAGAGCTTAATTATAAAATTGTTTAAAAATAGTTTAATTAATAAGGTAGAAATTTTCAGATATGAGTGAAAGAGAATCAATTATGAGATGGGGTACTTTTTCTTTTTTTAGGGTAATTTTTCAAGTCCTAGGATGTGAAGAGAAACATTTCAAATTCTAAAATAAAAATTTAAGATCCTTCTTGAATACTAGTTATAGTTACCTGGTCTGCATTTCCTTCTTAGTTAGAGGCTTGACTATAAAAAGGAAATAGGTTTTACTCTATATGTTTAACATTTTTTGAACAGGTCCCTGAAGGAGACTTTCTTAGTCTTAAAATATCAATATAGGTTGAGCATTACTAATTTGAAAATCTGAAATGCTCCAAAATCTAAAACTTTTTGGATGCCAACATCATGCCACAAATGGAAAATTCCACACCTGATCCCATTAAATTTTATAACAAAATAACAAAATTATTTTAAATGTTGTATAAATTTACCTTCAGACCATGTGTGTAAGGTGTATAAATGAATTTTGTGTTGAGACTTGGGTTTTATTCCTAAAATATTGTATATCTCATTATGTATATGTAAGTATTCCAAAATTCAAAAAATTTTGAAACCTGAAACACTTCTTTTCAACTAAAGTCAGATTGGAGGAAGAAAAAGAAAAAGAAAAAAAAAAAACTTCTGGTCCCAAGCATTTCGGATAAGGAACCCTCAACTTTTAGCAACAAGGTTCTTTTTTTTTTTTTTGAGTTGAAGTCTCACTCTGTCGCCCAGACTGGAGTGCAGACTGCTTCCGGCCACTGCAGCCTCGACCTGCTGGGCTCTGATGATCCTTCCGCCTCAGCCTTCCAAGTAGCTGAAACTTCAGGCACGCACTACCAGGCCCGGCTATTTTTTGACTTATCGTAGAGATGAGGTCTTGCCAAGTTGCCCAGGCGGGTCTCGAACCTGCAGGCTCAGGCAATCCACTCACCTCAGCCTCCCAAGGCCCGGGATTACAGGCTGAGCCACCAAACCTGGCTTCCATTCTTAGCTTATCTGTATAAATAGATAAACATTTAAGTCAGACGGTAAAAGAGCTTCTCAGTATATTGGACATTCAGATCATAGTTACTATTCTTTGATTTTTCTGATATGCCTCCTTGGTGACCTGTTTATAAAATAATCTATTTCTCCATGAGCCTTTTTTTTTTTTCTTTTTTTCTTCATGAAATTTTTTATTTTTATTTTTTTGAGTCAGAGTCTCACTCTGTCACCCAGGCTGGAGTGCAGTGGCACGTTCATGGACACCACACCCTCGACCTGCTGGGCTCAGGTGATCTTCTGCGTTAGCCTTTCGAGTAACTGGAACCACAGGCATGCTCCACCACATCCAGCTAATTTTTCAATGTTATTGTAGAGACGAGGTCTCACCATGTTGCTCAGCCTGGTCGAACCTCTGAGCTCAGGCAATCCTCTTGCCTCTGCCTCCCAAAATGCTGGGATTATAGGCGTGAGCCACTGCAGCCAGCTCCTTCATGAATTTTTGACTTAGATTGTTCTTTCTGGATCGTGGGTTTAGCTGAATACTGTTATCTCCTGGATCTAGCCAATTCATGATAATCTAGGAATTCTGCTTTGTAAATGATTTATTCCCTAGTTCTCCTTCCATTTTTGATCACATTAGTATACCTGAGTCAGTGGTTCCCCTTGGATGTCAAATGTTGCATATTGCTTAGAATCAGAAGAAAAAAGCAATTTGGTTAGTGGCTATAAGAATTACTGCTAGCCGGGCTCTGTGGCTCATCCTGTAATCCCGCGCCTTTGGGAGGCTGAGGTGAGTGGATTGCCTGAGCCCGCGGGTTCGAGACCTGCCTGGGCAGCGAGACCTCATCTCTACAATAAATCAAAAAATCAGCTGGGCGTGGTAACGCATGCCTGTAATTCCGGCTACTGGGAAGGCTGAGGCGGAAGGATCGCCAGAGCCCAGCAGGTCGAGGCTGCGGTGGCCAGGAGCGGGA